AAGGACGGAGATTGTATTCGCGGAGGCGCTCCTCGGTGAGGGAGGTGGAGGACGAGGGTTTTAGGGTTAGGGTTTTGGAGTTGGGGCTGGCCATCGTTGAGAGGGGAGACATTGGAGGAGGTTTTGGAGAGAGTAGGGTTAGGGTTTCGATGGGAACAAGGAGAGAGGGCGAGCTTCACGATGGTGGATTGTGTTTGAATTTGGGAAAGAAGTTGAGCGAGATGGGGATCCGGTGACCTCGAAGGTGAGCTCGGGGTGGAGGTTGGAAGCTAGGGTTTGGGAATTGGAAAGGATGCGGTTAGGAGGAAGAGGTATTTGGATATATAAGGACTAGTGTGCAGCCCGTGCTGCTACGGTGTTTTTTTTTTTGCTGTTCCCCCCGCCGTTTTTAAACTCTCCCGGTTTGAATTTTCTGGGGTGCTACAGTAACTCGCCTGCTACAGTGTCATTCCCGAGCTGCTACAGTAACCGATCTGCTACAGTGTCTTTTAAATTTCTCAGCTGCTGCAGTAAATACTGCTACAGTAAATCTACTGTAGCATTTGCTGTAGCATGAACAGTGACTCTTTGTTTCTCCCATTTGTATAAAAGAATAGATTCGAGGGCGGAAACAAATAAATTTGGGGGAATGGAAAAAATATGGGGGTAATTTTAAATTTTTTTTTTTAATGGGAGAAAGCATCCTAGACGGAAATTAGAATTAGGGTAATATTAGATTTTTGGAAAAAATGTGTTCAGGTCCAAAAGCAGAAATTTCATGTGAAGAGACCCCTCATAGTTTCCTTCATGTGGATCAGCCCCTTGAAGTGTGACACTTTGTACTGCAGCCACTTTTTAACAATTATTACATGTCAGCTAAGCTAAAATCCTCAAATTATCCTTCTCCTCTCTCCTCAATCCCTCAAACCAGCTCTCTCTCTCTCTCTCTCTCCTCTCTCTCTCTCCTCTCCCTCTCAAGCTCTCAAGCCCCATTCCTGCCCACGACTACGCCCTTCACGACGACGTCGGGCTCTCATCTCCCCTCTCTCTCTCTCATCTCCTCTCTCCTCTCTCTCTCTATCAAGCTCTCAAGCCCCATTCCTGCCCGCGACTACGCCCTTCACGACGACGTCGGGCTCCAGATCTCAAGCCCCATTCCTGCCCGCGACTACGCCCTTCACGACGACGTCGGGCTCCAGATCCGCACCCTAGCTCGCGAGCTGGGCCCTCGAGTTCCCAACCACTTCCCCTCCTCTCCTTCGCCCTACCTCGTCGCCGTTGCTCGCCGCTGTTCCCTGCCTCGCCCTTGACTACGCCGGAGTTCGCCACTGTCGCTAACTGCCTTGCCCTCGAGTTCGCCATCAACTTTGTCGGGATGCCATCAACCCAGATGCTTGCCAAGAAGAAGCTATAGGTCTTCAACAACTTAGACTAACATATATCGCATTACATGTCGATCGTGCCCAGCATCAACTTTCACGACAACAAATGTTTTTTTGGCTTTTTTAATATTCAGGAGAACAAAGTGATGTTGATTCTGATGGTAATTAATCAAAAAATTATTTAAGCTTGCATCTAAACCTTTGAATTCCTCTCTTTTGGACTTGGGCTCTTGGGCAATGAATTGGTCGGAGTAGATTCTTCATTCGATTCCGTTTATTTGGCAATGAATTGGTCGGAGTAGATTCTCCATGCTAGTTCTAGCCCGCACCATGCTAGTTCTAGCCCGCATTATGTTAGTTCTAGCAAGTTGGGGCAAGTTACTGATGTAGGCGTATAAAATTGCCTATAGGTCCCACAATACAGCTCGATGACGTTAATTTCGACAAAC